TGGTCACCATACCTTAAGAAGGACATTGCTGCCTTAGAAAAGGTGCAATGCAGGGCTACGAGAATGATTCCTGGTCTTAGAAGAATGTCTTATGAGGAGAGGTTAGCTGAACTGAATCTGTTTAGCCTCGAGCAAAGGAGACTAAAGGGGGGACATGATCCAGGTATATAAGATTCTAACGGGTCTGGATGCTGTTCAGCCAAACGGCTATTTCAATATTAGTTTAAATACTAGAACTCGTGGCCATAAGTGGAAATTAGCGGGAGAACATTTTAAAACAAATTTGAGGAAGCACTTAGAGTATGGAATAGTCTTCCTGCTAGTTTAGCGAAAGCTAAAACCCTGGGTTCCTTTAAATCAGAGCTAGATAATATTTTAACAACTCTGTGCTATTAGTTAAGTTCTCCCCAAACGAGCTTGATGGGCCGAATGGCCTCCTCTCATTTGTAAATTTCTTATGTTCTTATTTAATGATGACAACTATTTTCCTGAAATAGGCACTACCAATGCAGGTTTAAAATCAAATATCACAAAACTACATAAAATGTTTTAAAATCTTTCAGCTTTATTGCAAGTAACATACAACAGACAATTTGTATAATAAGATGTACGTTCATTTCTTCATGTTCTGTATCGTCACTTGTTTTTCTCTGCAACTGACTGACTACCCCAGAGGCAAAATCTGCATTTTATACCATAATATAATGTGCCTCTGTCAGCAAACTAATTAAAATACAATTAGAGAAAACTTTTGTTATTGTAGTGATTTTGTGAAAATTATCCTTATTTTGTTTAAAAACAAATCCATCTACTGTTTTCCCCTTTTCATTCAGGACTGCCGCAATTAGTCGGCGTAGTCGATGACATCAGCGCTGAAAATACATCGACATCAATATTTTAAATCGATGCATCTATTTTATTATTTTAATAAAATTACCTTTATGATGTCTAAAACGTTTCATTTCATTATAATAAATGTTTTCCTTTAATATCAATATGTAATTATGGAAGCAGTTCAAATTATCACAAAACAAAAATGTGGTTTTACACTGTGCGATGGCATACCACAGTGGCATTAGCGCTATGCAGAGAGTCTGAAGAGAAAACGCAGGATGATGGACCACAGGAGGAGGCAAAACCACCACAAGTGCTGTTTATTCATGTTTATTAAATTGGCATTAGAAGGGAGAGCTTTTTAATATCTTTTGTCATTGTAGTTCCCAAATACACTCATTATTAAAGCCATAAAGTTGTCTGCCTGCTACATTAGAATCTTCATTGAATAAGTATTTATGAAAATGTTTAGGCTAATATCTGAGCTTATTCTACATGGACTGACGATGCCAGTGTGTGCGTTCGTGTGCGTTGCACTAGGGACCAGTGTTGTTATCGTAAACTAAAACTGAGATGAAAACAGACACTAAATTAAGGAAAATAATAATAATTTGTGAACGGAAATAAAAACGAAAAACATATTTAAAAAAAAAATAGTGGCCACACTAGCAGTGTGTTTTTACCTTGTTTACCCAAAGTATGTCCTCTTTTAAAAGATTGTGGATGCTGATCTGTCCCTTCCTTCATTGCGACTTCAGTGTGTATTGCTTGTGTCACATGAGGTGTGCTCTGCTAACTGAATTTAATAAGCATGGGAATACACCAAATCTATACAGATTACTACCTTTTGGGCATCACAATATGCATCTCATTAAATTTTTAGGCATACTACTACCTGCTTATTTTGGACGAAAATAATGCGCGTATAGTGTCAAAAAGCCAACGTAAATTATCTAAAGCCCTGCAATGACATACAGTTTGTTGTTGTCAAAATAAAATTGAACGGTCAAGTTGATTTTCTGAAAGCAAATGAGTTTAGATTTAGATTAAGCAGTTTAGATTAATTGACCAATCAATAAAAGTCAATATATTAATCTATAGAAAAATAGTCGTTAGTGGAAGCCCTAATTCAGAACGATTCTGTAATTCATAGTTCAGAACAAGGCTGAAACGTATTATTCCAAACCAACTGCCAATACACTGTTACCAGATCAGAGCTTGACAGTTTATTCTGTCATTATAATAGTAGTTTTAAAGTGCACTTGCAACTGAACATTCATTGGAAACTCAACTTAGTGCACTTCTGCCTGGTCGACTCCTCGACAGCACGTAAATGCAAATGTAGTACTATATCGCAGTTCTTGCGATACCTCTGAAATGTGTATCATGGTTACAACTGTAACCGGTTATGGTAAAAATATTTCCATATTAACCTTATTTTCATGTATTTACTTTTCAATTACTGGTATTTAGTTAGTTACAGTAATTATTGATTATATCAAAGAAAAAAGGGCCGACGGGTGGCTTAGTGGGCTAAATCTCTATGCCTGTGATCAGAAGATCACCCGTTCAAGCCTTGGCCTCCCTCGGCAGAACAGTCACATGTCCGTGGGCCCTTGAGCAAGGCCCATACGGCACGTTGGCTGATGACTCCCAAGCTATGGAGAGCAAGATGTGATAGGTGAAAAGCAGAATTCCAATGTACCTGCACTCGTACTTGTGCAAATGGCAAATAAAAGTTTTTATCATCATTCACCATCATAATTTTTTTTATTATTCATTATTAGAAGTATTACACATCGCAATGTATTGATGCATTCCCAATAACTTGGAACTTGAAAATTTCCAACCTTCTACTTGATAAAATGCTATAGAACAGCTGAATGGAATGAAGTCGCAATGCAAACGTATGCAAGCAAATGCTAATTCAAGTAGCATTCCTACAGATGTGCTAGTGGAAATTTGCCCATCATGTATATCATGATATACACTATGTGAACAGTAAATAAGTGTCTCTTTGGTTTAATGTCACTGTTGCTCTCCAAACCCGGTAATGCCTTTACCAAGTCGACCCTTCTGCAGTGGAACATCGAAACGAGCTGTAACCGTGCTGTAAGTAGTGTCTCTGAGTGGTGTGGATCAGGTACTGCCTGGGTAACCGTGCTGTAAGTAGTGTCTCTGTGTGGTGTGGATCAGGTACTGCCTGGTTCCTGTTTTCCAGTGGAAAAAGCTCTGTTGACAGAGGTCTCTAAGTACTGTGCCGTGACATGTTTATCATTCATTATTAAATCTGGTCTGCAAATCAATCTTTCATTTTCCACGGAATAAAAAATTATGTAACATCAGTCCACTAATCTGCACCAGCAAGCTCAGCAAGTTTCACTGCTGGTTGCCCCTGCCCCCTATTATTCAGTAGTTGACCTTCTGACAATTAACACTGGCCTTTCCTCTCTGTTTAATAATAACATTTTTAATAATGTAATTAAGATTATATTTCCTTTGCATTCCATTAGCAGTAGGTCATTCACATCCCATGGTAGTATCTTTGATGTTTTTTCTTGGTTTAGTTAAAAAGGTATTTAAATTAGTTTATCAAAATAATCAAATAATCAATTAACTGAATTGAACCATGATAAATACACATTTCCGATGCATCGAATTGTTCCCTCAGTAATATTCCTCGAATTGAATTGCCTTGTGGCCAATGATTAACACCCCTGGCAGTTAAGCTAATTGTTGGGTCTAAATTGACAGTACAGTATGATGTGTGTATGTGCGCTGCAATAGACTGACGTCCCAGCCTTGTGCTTGCCCTTGTGACAATGACCAGCAAAAGTAGTTAGAGGATGGATGGAAAAAATTATAATAATAATAATTATAATTACAAGGCACACAATAAATGATTCTTGCAGGGGCGCAAGATATTAACCTCAGGTTACCATAATACTGCAGTCTTATAGACAGAAGGATCAGTAAGACAGTCATTCCTATGGTATGTACGTGATCAGCTATGGTGTAAATCGGGACAGTATTTTTTTGTGTATCCCTAGTAAGAAATGATGCTTAATCCAGTAAGTCTATTATATACAAACATTTAACACTATATACCCAATGTATTTGTTTGTGTAGCATTACCCTTTACTCTAATTATAAAATAATTAAAATGTAATAATTCTGACTGAATAATTAGATGCGTTTCTGCTGTGGAGCTCGAGTAGGCTTCAACAGAACTTGTCTAAACCTGGAGCTCAGCTTCTGACTCCGCTGTAGAGTCAGGGCCTGGAAACCAATAATCCTGCGTCATAATGAATGAGTGAAGTTTAAAGAAAATGTCTTCTAGGTGAAAACCCACTACATTATCACATGGTGTGGCTATCATGCTGGTTTTTGCCTTGTATATTGAAATAAGTTGCACATTTTATAACATCACAAACTATACTAATGCAAACATTTTCTAAATTGAATTGGCATTGTTACGTATCTAAGTTTTTAAAGGTTTGGGTTTTTGTCTTGTGTGAATTTCCCATCATCATGGGTCAATAGAACTTCTATGTTAACTGACATATATAACAAACTTGAAAATGCAGCAACCACCTTTGTCAGTCATTTATCTAGAAACGGTAATTGATTAAGAAAATAAGATCGGGACAGCATGGTGGCTTAGTGAAAAGCGCTGTTTTGCCATGTGTTGTACTCAAATATGGAAGCATTACATTTCCACAGAAACACTTAAAATTCTCCTTTACATACATATATTAAGTGTAATCTACAGTTCTAAAAAACAGTATCTGGCAAAAAAGCAGAAAGGAGATTTAAAAAATGAAAAAGTAGTTGCCTTAATGTAGTTTTCTGCTGGAAGAAGTGATTTGGGTACACATCATTCAGTGTCACGGAGTAACACTTTAAAAGTTAGCAATTTGCAGAAAATACTTACCCCACCTGTGCTTCAAACTAAATGAAGGTGTTTTCATTAGAGTACATTATCCTACTGAACATTTACCTAGTGATAAAGAATAAAAAATGTTTCTGAAATCCTGGAATCTTGCATGTATGCTCAATGTATGCAAATGGGATATGCTTTGGCAATCGTACTTATGGCTTGCATCTCTGAAAAGTACAGTACAGCTTGTTTAGTGCTTAAAAAGCTAACATGCTATGATCCATACTCACTGTGCCTTCAGGGTCCACCAGTAACAGGTGCTTGGCTACACCGTTGTGCATGCCGGTCAAAACATAGGAACCTGGGTTGGTACTGCTCTTCCTCACGAGGAAGTCTCCATCGTCATGCAGCAGCTTCTCAGCTTCCTTCCGGTTCATCTCCTGATGGTACCATGCCTGCCCCTCCAGTTCCTCATTTGCTTTAAACGCTGCCGCACGAACCAGCAGAGGGCTGGAGTTATCCACCGATGACATTTTTTTCAGGGCTGGGACTGGAGTCTGAGTTAAGATGGCATCTTCAAAGGGCTCTAGGGATACAGATATATAAATCGAACATTAATAATTACGTATAAAATACAATAGTGAAATTATATATGTATACTGATCAGTCACAAATGCACAAATAAGTTTCTTCCAAGCTGGAATTACGTTTTCCACATTTTAGCATTATTATAATGTGTAGTCATGTAAGCATTTGTATGGACAACCACCAGTCATCCAAGATCTGTAACCTTTCTGTGCAATTCACAGCAAGGCAGAGAACCAAAGGTAGTACTTTTATTTAAAAATAAATAAATAAAAATATTTATAGTAATTTATCACTGTCACGATGCAATGCCACAATACAAGAGAAATCAGCCACCATTCTTGTCAGTAGTAGTCAACATTCTCAAACTATGTCTAAACATGTTTTGCACATTGTACATTTTCATTGACTTAATACTACTGTTTGTTCTTATTTCTTTAAAAGTGCAGTATACAGGTATTTTATACGGCAATGGCCCAGTTCAATAACAAACTACGTCATAGGGTGGCTGTCCTTTTCTCTTTCCCTGTTAAATGCTGATTGGCCAAGACTCCTGGTCAATCACATAGAATGAATATTTGTATTACCATTCAGTCGTAATTTTTTACTGCTGCTTTTCCTAAAGTAGTATCAGAGTTAATAGCTTTAATAATTAGAGTTGTATATGCACCATTATAAGACCTAAACTTAACCCCAAAAAAGGATCACGACTCTACCTATATATCTTTTACATGATGAAACGTTGGATGAAACAATTAATCATGAGGGTGATGTTGATAATGTTTCTTACTCATATCAAAAATGTCTTTCCTGGGGCTACCTTTGGGCACCCCGCTGGGCCTGTCCGTCACATTGTCAGCTTCTCCTTGCAGTGCCGCCAGCACACGGACATCCATGTGCTGAGTGTTCACATAGGTAGGGGTATTGGCTGTTTTTGCTAATGGATTTTTCCCCTCAGGCAGACTGTAGATGTCACTTGATCCTGATCGGAGAAATGAAAAATAACTATGATAATTACATACATACAATACACATGGTTGCAATGCATGATATTAGCAAAAGACCTTTTTAGGTACCATGTAAAACAGAATTCAACAGATTTTTAAGCCATTTTATGGTCAACAGTTATCTTGTCATTTGGGCTGTCAACTAATCCATGGTGACAGGAATTATTTCACTCCATACAGGACACTTATGTCCGATAAGTCAAAGCCTGAATGGTCATGAAAATATGCCCTTGTCATTAACATACTAAACATACACTGTCCCCAAATACATTTATATTTGCTGTTGGGTGGGTAGCACTGCTGCCTCACATGCACAGGGCTGAGGGTTTGAATCTAACCTATGTTGTGTGTCTGTGTAGAGTCTGCATGTCCCTCTAATTCAAAAGAGGGTTCCTCTGGGTACCCCAGCTTCACCCTGGAGACATGGACTTTAAATTGGCGTCTCTAAATTGCCCGTTGTACGTGGGTGTGTATAAGACCTTTCATGGACTGACATTGACAGCCCATCCAGAGTCTGCCCTGTTGTTTGTCCTCTTGTGCAAGTTAAACCTATATTCAATGGTGTTAAGTTACTGGATGTTATGAATGATTCTCTGATTATAAGCTCTCAAAAACAAGTGCATTGAATTTTATAATAATGACACGTACAACAAAATCCTGCTACATATACTATACACCATTATTTTTAAATTATGAATACATGTTTCCAGGGGTTATATAATCATTTAACTTTTTGCTAGCCAATACTATAAACTATAATAACTGAACAAAAGTAACCACAAGTCTTAACTTAGACCAAATCATTTTCATTGTTTATAAGAAAAGCAAGTACAGCTAGCTAGATCACCAAATTGTGATGAAAGTTTGGATATAGATGCTTCAGAGACATAAGGACAAACCTAAAAAATGAAAGGCAAATATTGCAAGTAAAAAAAAATAATTGGTCTTCCGCATTCACTGTGATGACAGAAACATGTTCTTGTTAATCAAAGCACAACTGGGAATCATTCGTTCATTTAAAACGTAAACCTCCCTAATAGGGGTAAAAAAAAAAACACATGATTACACTTGATAAGTTAAAGATAACAGCCCAGTGACCAAACCTCCATAAGCAACAACTGTATGTACTGAATGTACTGCTGGCAAGGTGGTAAAGTGCCCGCAGGAAGTCTTGGGATGCTCGCTTAACTCAGAAAAAATATTGCAAATGTATTGGTTTTATATAAAAAAACATTACTTTATTCATTTGTTTACAAAAAAAATATGTTACGTTAAAAACAACCAGTAGTTTTAAGTAAAACAGTAATTTCAAGTAGTAATACACTGAAACCCAAATTATAGTTCTAAAAGGGCTGTTCTAAGTTAACTCTTTGGGTGCTTTTTTAATTTAGAAACACCTATGCAATAACATAAAACACCAAACAGTTGCGTTTAGTATCCCTGTGGGGGTAATTGACAGCAAAACGGCAAGAACAGAACTGAATGAGTCAGTCAAAAAAAATATGATACTTGATAAAGAAAATGCAGAAGTGCAGATATGTTAAACAGACATTTTGTTATGAAACCAATAAATTTGCACCATTTTTGCAGAATTAAGCAAGCATCCCAACCCTGTACATTTATAATGTTGTTTATATGAAGGAGGACCTCAGGCTTTTTTAAGCATAGGATGATTCAGCATTTGATGTCAGTTGCAGATGTTGCTTATTTTAAAAACTAATTTGGTTAAGCCTAAAATGCCATTTTTGAATTACAGCTGATATTCAAGTTTTATCTTGATAAGGTCTTAATGTTCCATGGCTTTATTTTGTGACAATATTAAGGCTAACATTGACTGCATCCCTTTAAATGGACTAACATTACACAAACAAATAGTCTAAGCGTAGCATACTTTTACCTTTAATTATTGCTTTATTATGCGGAATACCCAGTGACTGAGTGTGCAGTACTGTGGCCTGACAGCTCACTGTGTTAGTCTGTATTTCCACAGGATACTGCAGTTTCCTCCCAATGTCTGAAAATTGGTGGTTAGGTGAGCTGGTGTCTCTAAATTGCCCTGTGTGTGAGGCTCCTGGTTCATCCTGACCCTGTACTACATAAGTGGTCATAGTAGATGGCTGGATGGATGGATGTTTGTATAAATGTTATGTAGCTCCTAATACTTTAAACAGAAGGGAAATGTGAAAGAGCTAACCCTGTCGTACTGGAACAGGCCTCCTTTCCTCTGTCCAGCTCTCCCCACAGTGCCTTCCTTGGTAATAGGTTTGGTCTTGTCCAGCCACTGGGCTTGGCTAAAGAGAATACAATATAAAGCACTGTTACAACGAATTCTGTTAAAGGTAATAAAAACAAAACCAGAAAAGTCACACAGGTTTTCTACACAATTGTCTATAATTAATTAGCAGCTTTTTTATTTCAGTATGGCTAGATTAACTGTTTGCAGTTAGTAACCAATGACAAAAAATAGAAACTACCCATCTTTAATATATTTTCACTGTGCAACCAAAACTGCTTTAAAACACTGATGAGCACTTTCATAAAGTCATTACAGACATATATAATTCAACATAATTTACTGACAAATATAAAACAACAGTAAATATGAGGAGTATAATTGCGGTGTTGTTTACTCCATAAATAACATAAATTGCATTTACATGATTTGCAGCTTCAAATGTTAGTGAATATTGATATTATAGTACAATTGGAAATTTTATTGGCTAGTGGCTAATTATATTTCATAAGAACCTAACAGCTGAGGAGGTCAATCCTGCATTCTAGTCTGTAATCTAAAGACCTCTAACTCCCAAAATTCAGTACTTTGATATAACAGATGGTGACTTGAATTTTTTTATAGAATAATATTGCAAAAGAAAGCATAACTAAAATGCAAAAAAGGTCTGGTGGTGCAAATGAGGTAATCTTAATGCCCATATCAAAATATGCTCATTTGCAACATATATCATAAAGTTGGTTAATTTAATTAATTTACCAAATATTAATCTCAAGCTGATAAAAACATAAAATTGCTCATTCAATGATGATACTGCAGGAATGACATAAAACGCAGACACCACTAAATATTCTGGCCAAATCTGCTAGAGTGCAGAAAAGTCATGTAACATCAATAAAAGGACAAGGCCAGATCATATTATGGGTTCGAGACAGAAATTGTGCAGAACATCTTATTATTTATAGATCTGGGAAGCAATGTAAAATATGCTCAGTGAAGTCAAAAGGTCAAGGAGATGGTGCGGAGTGTTTGTTGTTGGATATTTGTTTATTGTTAAACAGTTGAGATCCATTTATAGCACCACAAAAGGCATACAGTGATGTGAAAATAAGTATTCCATTATCTGCTGCTCATCAACTACAACTAGATTTGGTGCTGTTGGAAACGACAGCATTGCATTCCCCAGACCTCCCTGTCATTTGGTCTATCCAAGCCGTTCTCATCCAACAGTGTTTAGTGGGACCGGCCCCCGACACCTGTTGGTGGCATTGTGTGTTACCGCTATACATAGTTTGAAATTTAGATTCTTTTAAGTAAAATAAGCTTTCTACCATCTTCAGATAACTGGCGCTAAAGGGGAGGGTCACTTGATAGTTCAGCATCACCATAACAGCTTTTCCAGGTTTTTCTCTTCTGCAGGTAAGTTTACGCCAAAAACACTTACTACCTTTGGTGGCTGAGAAAAAGATGATTCTATTGGTGTTATTACATCTCATCTGCAAAGTAATAAGCAGTGGTCCCCATTATTGATGGTTTGTTACCTGCACTCAACCACAGTCCAAAAATATTAAATAGAAATTTCCAGAAATAATTTATGAGTTTTAAATTCCGTGCCATTTTGAGTAGCATGACGCTATCCACCCATTAGTCACACTGCCATATTGGTTATCTGGCACAGTATCGCAGTACTTATGTTCAAAGTTGCCCTTTTCTTATAAATACTTCATTTTATTATTAGTCTTATAGTGTGTAATGTAAAAATGTAACTATCATAGATATGTAAGTAGATGAAAAAGAAGTTATATGTAGCGTTCAATAATGTCTGCGGCTATCTGCAGCAGGTGTTAGAAAATATCCTCTGCGAATACTGGGGCACTACTGTATTCACTTTTGCATCAAGAACAGCAAGATGGTGGACAGAAAAAGAAGTTTTATTAAACTTTTTTGTTAGGTTTGCAGTTTTATGGTTACTCCGGTGTATTGTACATTGTGGAAAGTGTCACTCTACTTTGTCATTGACAGAAACTGCTTCAAGATAGCTAAAAATACAATGGACAAAGCCCAGAGCAATGTAAATAGTTTGAAAGAGTGCTATTTGACAATTGTGCTGCTTATTGCTTCTGCTTGTTTTTGGGTGTTAAGCTACAGGAGGACTGTTGACCTAATACTAAATCATGCTTTGGAAAAGATTGGCCAGATTTTCTGTTATCATGCTGACAAGATCCAGTGTCTAAGCTGGCCTTCTCTTTGCTATCACTATGAGGTGCTGCTTCAATTTTATTTTGATTAGTCTCAGAATTTCATCAGGTCCAGGTCTTCAACCGTACAACATGTCTGCATACGCTGAAAAAGATCTGCCAAATACTTTTTTGAGTTATAGCGCTAATGAGATCAAAAACCTGAAACCACTTTTTTTTTTTTGCTATCGCTATGTGGCGCTGCTTCATTTTTGGGTCGATCTGCCCAAGTTTGAAAAACAATCCATGCAATACTTTTACAGTTAATGTGTTCACAAGACCAAGTGTCTTCTACAGCTGCAGTTTCCTTCCTTCGGTGCCACTTAGCGCTCCTGCTTCATTTTTAGGGCAATATGTCTGAAAATTAAACTAGGTGTAGATCTTCATCCATATGTTCATGTGGAGCAGTTGTGGTAGAAAAATCCATGATTATGCAATTCCAATATAAATTCAATCAGTAATTAATAATGAAACTTATAACACTGATTCATAACTGATTCATAAATTCATAATGATTCATTTCTGATTTGAAACATTTAATGTGCTAAGCATATAATGCAAGCTTGCTTAAGTAATATGTTTTCATTATTATAGGTAAGAGGAACAAACATATTTTGGCATAAGAGCTTGTTTGCAAAAGGTCAAGGTACAGACCTGATCCGAGAAGTAAAGCTGCTGCAGTAAACATTTATAAGAAAAATGTCTGTATTGGGGGTCAAGGTTACATGAAAAGAGAACTAAGGAACAAAAAGGGAAGTGACATGAACTTTTTTGAGCAGGGTGATGTAATCACAAGTGATCATGAAAACGTCAACCCTGCCTTTACCTGATAATGGATCAAGTTTAACAAAAGTAACTGGTGTCTACAGATATCTGACCCCTCCCTAAACTGTCTGTAAACTGTCACGTTTTTGGCTATAAAAGATGTATGCACTTCTTGTTCGGGGAACAGATCACGAGACGCATGAAAGACTGCTGAGTGTCTGTTCCCCCAAAGCTTTGTGGTAATAAAGTTTTGTCAGACTCTTAAACAAATCGACTGCAGCAAAATTTCTACCACACAGTAATAAGATTCAATAGCGTAATACCTTTTGACTTATAACATTTACAAGGTCGAATGTCATCCACATTCACCCTTCTCTATGCTGCCACTAAGTGGCGTCACTTCAATTTAGGATGATCTATCTCAAAATATCATCGGTTCCACTTTGGCATCCTTAAAATGCCTCTGCAAAGTTTGAAAAAGAGTCATCAAAAACTTGACTTATCACCTTACTGGGATCAAGTGGCAAAACACCACTTTTTTGCTATCACTATGCAGCACTGGTCAAATTTTGAGGCGATCTGTCTAAAATTTTAAATCAGTGTTATTTCCAAACCCATGCAGCGGAGATGGTGTACCGACGCTAAAACCATACGTATTCTCCAAAGGCCGGTAAATCTCAGATAATAAACACAAAACAGATTTCACTGTCATTTGTTCAACAAAACGTAAGCCAAAATGCAGAAACCATGTGGGAAAGGGTAAGTACACCCTTACCGCTTCCACAAACAATAAGTGAAACATCACTATATTTATAGCATGTGAGATGTCAGACCCGATGGCTCTCTCCTTGGCCAGAATTTTGGTTCTTCAGCCTTGTGTCAATGAAGCCCCCTGGAGGTGGCATTTTCCCCGGTATGTTGTTGTAGTAGGGGTGCTCTGTAGTTTCCTCTTCTTCCTCTGTGCATGGAGTCTCCTCCATACTGAGCATGCTTAGAAAGAAATGCAGAATTTGTGTTACATACCCACCCCAAAGAATTGAACCAAACTCAGTACAAGCTGTACCCCAGAATGCAATAATTTACCAATATGGCATTACTATATCGACATCAGCTGATATCACATTAAAATTAGATATTAGAACTAGTGACAGTACAACTAGCCTACTCTCTCCATTTCAGTTCCCTCTAGAGCAGTCGGCGCCAACCATTTTTACACTGGGGAGGTACCACAACACGTCAGTAAATCTTGCTGAACAAAAAAGGTCTCCCTTGCTATATTTTGGTGGGGGGGTCGGTGAGAGTCTGACTGTCATAACTGACTAGGAATATCACACTGTCAATTGAAATTGACTGGTTGTCAAACAGTGCTCTAGCATGTGCTTTTGGCAGGCAATTAAGATAAGTTATTTTGGTTTATACAAAGAAGCGTACCTAAAAAATTCAACAACATAGCTGATGGCAAAAAATAGCTTATATTCAATATTTTAATAAATACATTAAAATATTATTAGGGCTAGGGCTGGACGATTTATCGATTTGAAATCGAATTGGCAAGTCGCAAAAATCGCGATTTAGGATATACATTATGCAGCACATCGGACCCAGGGTTTAAAACTGCTGTGAGAAAAAAACTGCTTTGCTTAGCCGGACAACTTGTAGGATTTAAGATACCTCAGTTTAAATGGTCTTTATCTTCGTTCACTTACAATTAGCCTGAATTACCTTAAATCCGACAAATAATCTGACTAATCATGAAATCCAATTCTAGCCCGGTTAATTGGTAGCCATTCAATTCAATTAAATTCTTTTATTGTCATGTGTACAAGTACGAGTACCGTGTACAATGAAATGCTTGCTTGCATGTGCTCCTGCAGACAGTGAACATAGACAACAAGATGGACAGACAACAGGATGACAAGTGAACGAATGATAAAGTGAATTATAAATAAGTAAATAAATAAGACCAAAATCACAGGAATAAATAGACAGAGACAGAAACAGAAACATATGTGTGGGTAGCAGTGGAGGTGACACAGGTTACTGATTGTTCATGAGTCTGATTGCAATTGTTAGCAATATCAGTTGATAACATATTACGCGCGGTGCTTCACGTATAAAACTCCATAGCAACATGTCCACAGATAAGTTGGATGGTATAGTGTGTGCGACCGATTTAATAGCCACAAATGAGAAGTAGTGCTTAAACAGGAAAAAACTACAACTTTCCCTTCTGTTGATAAAGGGCGCAGCCATCTTGGATTCTGAAGTTGGGAACTTGGGATCCTCTGTGCTGTCCGAGATATTTCTCGGATCTCCGAGTAACGGGAGCACGCATGTCGTCACTTCCGGCTTCAAAACTCGGAATCCGCGTTCCGAGGGCAAATGCAATGCAGCAATAGTTTTACAAATTCATGCCGTGATCCCTGTGTGACAGTCATTCTCACCAATCACAAGCGCCGTGCTTCTCGCGTGCCAGTCATGCTCACCGATCAGAAGTGGCCCAAGAAGGCGTATAGGCCCACAAACACCAAACATGTGAAACCCAAGGAAAATGTTACATTCGCAGAGCGTAAAAATACTGATTCCGCTGCTGAGCTATAAGTGAATTGCCTTCCTATTTCATGGTCCGAAATTGTTTCAGAAAGGTCCTATCATCAATAGAACCGGCGAGCTCCTTTTAAACACCAGCTGCAAAATACTTCAGCGTATCATACCTTTGGTTTTTGTTAATAAGCAATAGCATTAGTATACAGCTAACCCATCAAAACGACGAGACAGTCAATAATTCTCACAGCAGCGGAGTCGGTGGCCTCCAAAAAAGCCGTAAAACCCACAATACAGTCGTGTTTATGTCATATGTTTTTGTGCTTATTAAATTTAAGTGTTTCCAAAGATTAATCCCACAACAGTAATAAAATAAAAGTCTTGCTTTAACATATATATTAAAAGAACAGGTTGCTATAATCGATATTACAGTTGGGTATGGGCACGCGGTCTTATTTAGAAAACACAAAAAGAGACGCATATAATGTTCAATCATTTGTTTTGTATTTGTCCGAGTAACAAAGCAAAGGAATGATAAGCTGCTTCAGTCGAAAACTGCATTTTACTTCACATTTAAAATAAAATGCAGGATTGGCAACTTTGGTCAGCTGCATGGAGTGAGACTTTCTGTTCTCTGTTCTGCACACACATTTACATGTATGTAAGTTTTATTACCTTGTAAATAGTCTGTAGGGTTTGCAAACTGCCGTAACGTTTTTCATGCAGCTAATTTTAAGTTCAGAATGGAATATAGATTTGCCGTAAGAAACTTCGACCAACATGAAATCACCAATAAACTTCTATTTATTCAACATTTTATAAAATGCATACTATGTTTAAAAATTTCCAGCTTTACGATTTCAGGACAGAACAGCCACTCGGTTATGAACATTACAGTTTTTTGAGTGTTGTTAGTGTTAATAACAGCAGCTAACAACACAATAGTGCAAACAAAATGGCCGCATACACCGAAGTAGTTCTTGCTTGTTCATTGGCGTGGGAAAAGGCGGTTCTAGTGTTATTAGGAGGGTAATAAGCGGTAAAAAACTGTTGCAAAAAAAGGAAGCAGCGCGACTAATTTATTCCAGCATGTAAAGCAGAGGCACGCAGCGGAGAGGGAGAAGTGCCACTCCCAGCGAAATGAAAATAGCCGCAGCACCAGCACAACAAACAAAGTTAAGCAAGCAACCGTCCCTGACACATTTTCGAACTATGTGCCATATGATAAGAATCGGGCACGATGGAAGACGATAGCAAACGCTGTCGCGATGTATAGTGCAAAAGACATGGTGCCCATACATACTGTGGAAAAGCTGGGATTCATTAACATGCTAAACGTTTTAGACCCGAAGTACGTGCCTCATTTTTCTTAACACTGGCAATTTTTCAAAAGCTTTCTTTTGCACTATGTCAAGCCCAATGGCATAAAGTATTTACTTAATACCAAGCTGACATGATAAAATTGTGTTTTTTTTTCTATTATTATTACAATATTACTTATATTTATAAGTTTGAGGGCGTATTGTGTTGTTGCCAGTTTGAAAATAAGCTATAGAGAAAGCTTTCTAAAAGTTTTTACAAGTTTCTAAAATTGTTTACAATGGTGTGGTCTGCCATCTCACTTACAAGTATCTTATGGCTTGTCAGATTGCACTTTAACCCTAAAGTTTTTTAAAAAAAAGCTAAATAAAGTTAAAACTTGTTTTGAACCATTTTTGTCATCTGTAGTTTGATTTTGAGTAGGGGAGGGGAAAATCGATTGAAATCGGAAATCGGATTTTTTGTGAAAAAATCGGAGATTTTATTTTTAGGCCATATCGCCCAGCTCTAGTTTTCATTATTACTTTAACTTGACACATCACATCTTTAAATTCTCATCCTTGCATTAGAATATAGACCAGTTAATACTGATGGTATCTCATGCTGCGTCATATGTTTTAAAATTACTACACACTGAATCTTGAACCGAATCTTGACATAAAAAAATTAAATTGCAAATCAAATGGTAATCGCAATTTCTGTCAGAAAAATCGCAATTCGATATTTTCCCCAAATGCGAATCAATTTGAAAATTATTAATGGCAGTTTTCTGTGATTAACCGTGATTAATCACACATAAAACTGAAACTTACAATAGTAAATATTTACAGACTAAATCCCTAAATTAATGTACAATTAACAAAGTGGAATAAATGGGTCATTCTTACAAACTCCTTCCAGTAACATATCAATTTTCACTGATTTTTTAAATTAATTTCTGTTAAAATCAAATTACACAACTTCATTGTTTAAACCAGAGTTCCCTAATTCTGATCCTGAAGCAGACTGTATTGTAGTCTGGCCCTCCAAGACAGGAACTGAGGAAACCTGGTTTAAGCTATCAATTTTGCCTCTGGCAGTTCATGTTTTGTTATATTACTTTTACAAAAGTAAGACAAAAGTATAACATCAAATCCAGGGCAAGAGTTACGAAGATGAGGGGAAAAAAAATAACAATGCTAACCAAAAAACTGAGCTAAAATATACATTTTATCATACAAATTGATTGTTTATTGTGGGTAACATGCAATGAAGTAGAAAGACTAAAAACACTGTATCTAGTTGTATCTAGTGTGAGCCCTTAACCCTCGGCACCAGTGGACCACAGGTTTGTCTTCCTTTTCCACTACCGCATACTTCTCCCTGTACACAAATGACACCATCACTGGTGACCCATCTGTACAGCTCCTCAAGTTTGTGGATTACGCAATACTAATAGTCGTCATCTCACATGCCGATGAGTCTACGTACAGACGAGAGGTAGATCTTCTGTCAGATTGGTGCAACCCCAACAACCTGGACCTCAACATTAAAAAAACAAATCAAATGATGACAGACTTCCGGAAACAGCCACCTACTCATCTACCACTGGAACTGATTGGCTCATTTGTCAATACAGCTGAGTCATTTAAGTTCTTGGGTACTGCACTGTCACAGAACCTTGAGTGGGATGAGAACATCACATGCATCATAAAGAAAGCTCATCAGAGGACATTTTTCCTATGCTAGCTGAAAGAAATTCAGTGTTTCACAGGCAGTGCTGGTCTAGTTCTACACAGCCATCATTACTCTACACAAAAACAAATACAGTGGTACCTCAGTTCTCGAACTCATTAGAACTTGAATTTCTTAAAAGTTCGAAAAAAAAATTACCTAGAGCTCAATCTGAATCTCAGAATTCAAACCGTGAACGCCGACCTAAGATAACTTGTACGCGCAGGGAAATGAGTCATGCGGCACGTCTCTCAGCAGAAACAAAGGGTAAAGCTTCAGTCTCAGCCTCGCATTCGCTGAGATAGCACCGTGCATGTTTACACTAACTGAATACATATATTTAGACAGTAAAAATACATTTAGACAATGATAGACAGTAACAGTAATTATTATTATATAATAAAATACATAAAAAAAAATTCTTATTCGTTATTTTAATATTAATAATAAACCATTAATACGTTTAATTATAATAATATTGTTGTGCCAAGCGGGGACGGAACGGAGACAAAGGCGCAAACGTCAGGGTATCAGGGAATACGGGGTTTAATTACAGGTAAGGCAGGCAAAACGCAGACGGACAATACAATAATCGGACTGGGGAAACAAACTGAAATGCGGACTAAATACTGAGGACTAATGACAACAACCAGAAACAGCTGATCACACGGTGATACCACACGGGGTTAACGAGGGGGCGTGGCACACGGAAGGAGCGGATGATTGTTTGGATACATTTATTTTCTCACTTTACAAATTACTGTTTTGATAAATGTGCTTAGATGTGTTTAGTACAGTATATGATCTTATTGTTTTATCCGGTTCATTTTGTGTTTAAATGCTAAAAAAACATATTTAGGTGTAATTTTTTGGGGCCGGGAACCAATTAATTGGTTTCCCATTATTTCTTATGGGGAAAATTTGATCACAACTCAAACTTTTTAGGATTCTATCCAGAGTTCTGAACGGATTAAATTCCAGTTCTGAGGTACCACTGTACTGTATTTGCTGTAACATTTTTTTTTCTACAAAAATATCTCAAGTTCATGAGCATGACCCATATTTTAATATTTGTTCAATGGTTTAACTTAAACTTGTATAGGTTATTCATTTCCATCAAAAGTCAACAAAAAATACTACTTGCAAGCAAGTTCGAGCTGAATTACAGTGCTTACAAAAAGGCTTTGAAAAAGCATACACCACATGTACATATAATCACAGGTACTCAACAGGTGGATCGACACACTATTTAATTCTGATCACGTGATCGATATAAAATCTAAAACCTATTTCGCAAATGGCACTAAAGACAGAAGCACAACAACCACAGAAAGTATACCTAACCTGAAAGATCATAGGATTTTAAGGTATAAGCATTCTATAAAATAAAACAAATACTGCAAATTACAATATCTTTATCCTATGTAAGTAACCTCCATCTGGCAAATTTCTAAAATGAAACACGTTCCCTGTGAGATACTAAATGAATGTTATCATTTTAGCTTTGAATTCTGAGATTCAGTGCAACATCATACCCTAAACTCTCATGTTGCTTACAACTAGGAAGGAATATTGTATGTCTACCTCTCTTTGATCACACTATTGCAGGGGTCTCCAACTCTGGTCCTGGAGAACTACTATCCAGTAGGTTTTCTATCCTACTTGGCTTCTGATGAGCCACACCTGGCCCTGGTATTTACTTGAGAACAGGGCCGGTATGCATAAAACTTCCTAAGAATGGTCTTAAGAATGGTCGTACACTTTGACTTAAGAGTTAAAGAGTTAAGAGTTAAAATCTTAGCAAAAAGTAGGACCTAAAAGCATTGTATAAAGCCGCTAAAAGTAACTTTCAGCAAAGTCTAAGCCCAATTCTTAAAAGTGCTGACGAAGCCAGCATTTAAGTGTCGTGAAATGAGGACTACAAATAAAATCCCGCCCCAAATACTGAGTTCAACCAATAGAGGAGCTGCACGGTGAATATATTAGTGACATTAAACCGTTAATGTAGAGCTTTATACAACATACCTTTTTGTGATCATACCTTTAATTGGTTGTACGAAAATCTACCTAGCACATCACCAATCAATTTCCACTAATAGATGCACATGTAGTATAAATTATGGGTCAAACGCAAAACTCATAGCAAGACATTGGATCCTAAAAGAAAACCAAACTGGACGACAAACAAAACGGTTCTTTTGGCACAATTGGTGCTTAAATGGAAGGAGGTAGTGTGAGGAAAGTTTGGCCCAGCTGTTACAAGCACGGACAAAAAAAGCTTAGGAGGCTATTGCAAGCCCCGTAAATGCTGCGTCACCTCGGACAAGGCGTTCAGCAGAGGAATGTGAAAAAAGGTGGTATAATGTTCTATTGACCTCGCAAAAGGAAATCACAGTTTATAAAGCAAGCATGCAAGCTGCAGGTTTGTGTCATTACTTATATTGCTCTTATGACCCTCGCTATAATAGATGATGATGATAATAATAATAATAATAATTATTATTATTATTATATTTTTCCAGTTGCCAAAAACGTAGCATCATTATCACCTTCAGTTCAACTGTAGGTGCATTTTTAGGTGACGTAGGAGATTGTATCCGGTTCCTAATTAGGTCGGTAACAAAAATAATGCCTTCACAATCAAGCCTGTATCTTTTTATTAACTCGTTATCATCGTAAATCCACAGTACGTCCTTTCTTTGACGGAAAGTGTGTGGTCTCCGTCTGGGTGCGCGTAGTGCAGCTGCCATCATTCAACTCCTAACTGGCTTAGGAGTCCTCTCCAGCTCTCTTAAATAATTTAGGAGCTGAGACCAAGTCTTAACACTTAAGAATGTTTATGCATGCCACTTATTCTTAAGTCTGGGAGTAGGAGCAAAATCACGTCACTCTTAGAATTGTGATGCATTTAAGAGTGAAATTTTACTCTGAGAAGTTTTATGTATACCGGCCCAGGTGTGGCTCATCAGAAGCCAGGTAGGATTGAAGACCGACTGGATAGTGCCTCTCCAGGACCGGAGATGGAGACCCCTGCACTATTCCCTATCAAAATACTGCACATGTTAATTTGATCAAAGAAATAACAACATATTATGACTTTAAAATTAATGCTATGCATTAATGTAATAAATTTCCCAGCCCTAGTAATTATAATTCAAATTCATAGACAATCTGATGGAAAAATGCCCAGAAGCAATTTTCCCATTTTGGTGGGCTCATTAATATGTTGATGAGCTGTGCTCTGATTGGCTGGTTTATAGTGAGGTACTCAGATGGCTCACAAAGAACCAGCATCACTATAGTCATGAATCGCATAATGACATTTCAGTCAATGTTGGACCGCACGATGGTGTTCCCACAAGATTATAACAGAGCTGGAAAATTTCTATTGCCTGGTCACACAGTAGTGAAATGCATTACTCACATGGCCATGGTGATATTGGTGTAAACAAACCTACTGTGCTGCCAGTTGTGTAAAAGTATAACACATGCATTTACGTACAGTATATAATGATTGATAATGAGGAACAACTATGTTACTGGTTTATGTACTATACTATACTTTTCATCCTTATTTTAGAGTGCACTCTTTATATTTTGCCACACACATAACTAATACTATTTCAACCTAGGTGCAACATTAGCATAGTTATAACTTTGTTTTTATACTTGTAACAAGGGCATTGTACAGTAATTATTTTGCATCTTAACCAAAAAATGATTTTAAGATGCTAGCTTCGTCATGGAATTTTTATCAGGATCTCCAAAAAGCAAGCTCACAAATGTGTCGTTTGTAATGAATGTGGACTTCTGCTTTCATTTTTTTTTACTTCAGTATTGATTAGATATTTGTTTAGCTAACCAAAAGTAGGGTAGAGGCAGTACAGAAGCTTCCAGTGCTAGTATCACAGACTTCGTAATGTTGTATACTACCCTACTGCCAACCAGGGGTATGTCTCCCAAAAACATGGTTGACTTACATAATTGGAACCATGCATCTGAACGGTTACAACTATGCAAGTCGCCAGTGGAGGCTTTTGGGAAGTACACCCAAAATATATACAACCATCCGATAATTTGATAGATGCATTTGACTAAAAATGGGTATGTACAGACCGGAGATCCATTGCCTACATTATAATGTAAGTTTACATTATTAAGCTTATCAAAGGTCAGATTAACCTAAATTTAACTTTCGGAAATAGACGACTTCATTAAAACAGAAAGTTAAACACTGATTCTTGGTGGACTCACCCGTCATGGGACATGGGAAGTTTGCTGGAGGGACACTGTAGATACTGCTGGAAGCGAAGATCAAAAGCTTGACCAATGGTGCTAATTACACTCTGAGCCAGACCATCAGGGCACTCCAGAATATGACATGCTGTACAAGACAATGGGGCAGACCAGTGAAACAACAGCAAAATGAAGAAAAGCTATTAAAAAAGTACAAAATCTATATCACGTGAAGTCAGTGTCATTTCACCGAAAAATTCTGAGAATAAATCCCAGTTTGATTCCAATGAGGTACCAAAATACAATCTGAAAAAATTCCAAAGGGAATGAATAATTTTATAGCTGATGTAGTAATTTTGAATAAGGTCAGTACTATAAACAAACAGTAACAGTAAATATCGAGTAGCATAAATAGGGAAAATGATGTTTTGGAGAAAATCTATAGATCATCATCCAAACAATATAAATAAAATCTGCATATGCAATTTTCCACTGAAACATACCAGTAATCGGACTTGCTGCTTGGAGAAAGCTTTGACACATTCTGTAAAATGTAGTTAGTATTATGTTTAACAGCCAAGGGTATGAGAAAAGAAACATACATACCCCTGCGATTCACGGGGTCTTTAGCTACGTACGCGACATAATCAGTAGTGTCCTGCAAGTGAGAAAAATAAGTGAAAACTCTTATAGCGTATCATCACTACCTAACACTGTGAAGACCATAAAGTAAAATACAGATTTTAAGTTAGGAATGTGTTATCTGTCACATAAATTAAAATCTGAAGTTAAAAACAGAAAACAGTATGATGACAGTAAAAAAAGTGATTTTTGACAGATGGAAAAACATACAAATATGATACCTGCATAGCCCTAGCATGCCTTTCATTGGAATTGCTGAGAATATTTAATAAAAACCAAACTAATTTAATAACAATCAAACAAACTGCAGCTGTGGACCAAAATACCACTGGATGGTTGAGTCAGTCTCTCAGGTTTATAAATCACAACCTTGGTATTGGGATAAGATAAATATTCTGACATCCTGGTTTTGTCATTGTAATAAAACCCATTACTCATTAAACAACTTTGCGTTGTTGACGAAACACAAATCCAAGAAATCTGTCTAAGCATTTTTACATCAATTATAAAATAATTACATATGTTACAATGAGACTATATCAATAAACTATAGAATAAATCACAAAATTATCATATTACAGAGATGCTTTGTGAAGATGTTTTTAATGAATTAAGAATGTTTAGTGCAATAACCTGTTTTGTTGTATAATTAAAGAACAAAACCTATACTGGAAAATTAGCCTATTTCAATGTAACAATTGTAAAAAGAATACACATTGAGCTCAGTCCTTGTGTATGCACATTTCCTTTGGATACTAGCCACCTCACGAAACACAAATATAATGCCCCAAACAGAGTCGGTTTATTTATATACTGTACACGTAGATGGGAGTGGCTAAATCTGTACACATGGATGTAGGAACAACCAAGAGAACATATCACAAAAAACCCTAAAATGAAATAACTAGCTAGTAAAAATCCTATAACAAAGTAGCATTCTGTGCTTTAATGGTCACATTAGATACTTTGAATTCAGCTTTTTAAAAAATTGTACAGGTTGTCTTAATGACATAAAAAAACATCATACCAGAACTCATGGGACATGCACACTTAGAATAGAAATTTACAGTATCTCTTGCATTTGACCTTAAAAGCTTTCATTTCTTCTCTAATGCTGGTGGTAACCTGCTCCAGTCCGTTGAAGTGTACACGCTGCTTAAAATTGAGGAGGGCCACTTTAGTCTTGCTCTAAGTCTTTCTAATAATCCAGAATGTTGTATAGAGTGAATATGAATAAAGTGCCCACTACAATGTGCTGAAAACCAAAATCTGTACATATCTCTTAGCATGGCTGTTTTGCTGGAACAGGACATTGATGTAATCAGTCATAGGTGTCCCATGGGTGTTGGTAGGATATTGTGTATGATGTAACAGGAATACAAATGATGTAACAAGAATCATATTCATACATATCTAATCTGGATGTGCTAAAGAGGATAAAGCAAAATAGGACAGGGCCTACATGCATGCGCAGAGTTAATTAAGCAGCATAATTTAGCATTTAGTAGTGTCTTACTGGGTCCCCACCAGACGCAAAGGAAATCGACTGCATATGATGATTTGCTATTATCTGTGGGAAGCAATAGAAACATTGAATGTCAGCTAGATTATTTTTTTGTCCTGAATGAAATTAACATTATCATATTTTTCTTGTAAATATCTGGTTAGCAGGTACTCAGATTCAATGTTCATGAAATTTGAATGCTTAACATTACACTATTATATTAATTGATCTGTATGATTAGGCAATAAGAAAAACAGTAGATAAACCAAGTACAAAAAAAAAATGAAATATGATTTTATAGTTTCCTGAAGATTATCCCAATATGCCACTAAGTACGAAGAATAATCGCTCTGACCTTGCTAACTTTGACCATCTTTTAAAATATCTGATAGCCATCATCTTGCAAATCACTGCAAACATGCAGTGAGGAATAACTGCAAATTTACTTTTATAGAAATAAAAAAAGTTTAAAAAGCACAATATGTAAAATGCACAATATGTATACATGGCTCTTGAGAGTCATTATTACACAGAATAGATGTCATTCTTATAACTTAGTGATTGAGTTTATCTTTAAAAACATTAAAAATGACAAGCTTCTACAAGTTGTATTTGATTACTCAAAGTCGTAAATTACATACGCTAATATTCAACAGTACTGTAGTTATATAACTTGGTATCCCTGCAGCTGTTTAAGTTTGTGAACTTTGTGATCAGCTTAATAAACAGCACAGTAAAACAGCTAGCTGCATCCCTGAGAGTAGTTCTTCCAAATTCAAAATTATTTAAAACTATAACTATCATTTAATTATTGCATTACATACTGTTAATGTTTTCTTATATATATATTTTTTCATTTAGTTTCACACATTAGGATGTATTGCCATTTATTCTTGTGAGGGGGGGGGCATGAATCCTGTTTCACTTACATATAATACATGAGTGATTCAGCCAGAAGTGATTCATGTGCAGCTTGCTATCGATCGTTTGCATGCATAATAGCAACTGTGTGTCATTGGCATACATTTACATTTTACCTATATGACATGACCAGTGACGCATAAGCCAAACAAAATTGGCCTTGGTATTACCTGACATGGGATCTTTGCTATATAGCTATCTTGCTTTTTGTTGATTAGGTAGCCTATGATCTCATGTCATTCAACAAATTTGAGTTATTTTTTAATGATAGTTCTAATTTCATAATACAGTTCACATTCACTGAATTTCTCATTTTTATACTGCATTTTTATTTGCTAGTGAAAAAGAAAATCTGTGCAGTGTTACAAAATATTTTTAGAAGAAAAAATATGTTGCTACAATATTTAAAGAATGATCCTATATGTCTGTTAGAAGATTCTCTCTACATACATGAAGTACTGGTTTCAGTACTGAGATGTCTTTTTTCCAGTGCTAGTTTATTTGATTTGTATAAAAATATCAGCATGATAATGTAGTATTTTTAGAAATAACACAAGGCATGCCAGAAGGTTTGTTTACTTAGTTACTTAGTCACACATGAATGCCTTAAACAATAATAGCTGATTATTAGAGCATAAACTATGATGTTAAAATTATGACATCCTAGATTTGGAACACTTTTTTATTGGTGATTTCTTAGATTGGAAGAATTGAATTTAAACAGGAAATATCTAAGTAAATTACACCATTTATGATATGTGAATGTTAAGACTAGGACATTGTTTAACATTATGAGAAATGTACCTGTTTGGAATCTAGTGTCATCAGGTTCAGGCTGCTGGTGGAGATGTTCAAGTTTATGCTCATTCCTGCAAACTGTAGGTTGCTCTTTCCCAGAATACTGGAGAGAGCTTTAGTGGGGGGCTGAAGAGAAAAACAGATCTGTGTTAATACCTAGCACACATTTACAGTGATAACTTGGCATAAGAATGAGTTTCATAAAGCACCTGTGGTAACTGACTGGCTTAGAAACAGATGCAAGATCACTTATGGAAAACAAACTCGATAACCCCACATCTTAAGAACATAAACATTTCAAAACATAGCAAGATCCTGAATCCAAATTCTGTGATTAGTTATGTTCTGCACTGTGTGAGTCAGTGGCACACTGTGTACATTCCCAGTCTGAAAAGTTGTGGGCTGTATCTACACCCACACAGTCCCACCCCTTGCAGAACAGCATGCTGTGTCAAAATTGCAGTGTACCTTTCTCTTACGAAACACTCCTTTTGTCCCTGGGACAGCCTCACATACCATACTTATTGCTTCCCTAAAAAAAAGAGAGATACAGCAAGTCTTTATATTCGGGTGCAAAATAACTGTTCATAAGGAAATTCATGAGGCCATACTATCAGTATTTTATCTGTTTGTGAAGATACACTGTACATGACATGGCAACAAAAATCTACAATGCTATAACATATAACAATGCATTGCTCTCTAGCCTCCACTAAGAACAATTTCCTCCAGAATTTTTTGTTCTCCGTACAGTAGTATGTGCTGTTTATGAATGTATAAAATAAACCATTTGACTCAAGCCAGCTTGATTGTCAGATGCAATAGCTAACACCCTTCAGCAAACATAACTGTACTATAGGGGCATTTGACCTTTTATTTAAGCTGAAATACATAATTATTCTGGGTTAATAGTAAGGGCATTTGAATTTGACATATAAAACTTCTTACAAAGTATATCATATGCATAAATGTAACAATACAAGTATTATTTATTTAACATGTCATGAATCACTTGATTCTGATCAAAAACAATGGCATAAAATACTCACTAGTATTAAATTTAAAAGTCATTTTAATGTCATTTAATGATTATGCCAGTTTTATTCTTAGAATCCTTCTCCGGTGACTACAACAGATGAAAGATAATTTCATATTTTCATGTATTTTCTCATAATAATTACTTAAATTCAACCATGAGCAGAGTTTCAAAGACTGCCACTGTGAAAAGGAGATACTGGAGAAAGGGTAACTCTACTAAAATCAAACGTCTGGCCCCATTCTGTACAATCGATGGAAAGCCACACTGTGAGACCCTGCACACGTCAGTAGTCCTGACACTCATAAGTCAAGCATGAAAAAAATGGACCTGACATACTGTGTAGGCAAACCCTGCTGCCTCAGTACTGCCCACATTGTTTTTCAATAAAAATCCAGGACAAACAAAGGCATAAGCATTGTGCTGTTATGCAGTTTAACTTCATTTTTCATTTATTTACAAAATAAGCCTAGGCATTTTTCTTACCTTGTTATTTGAGATCTTGTGTTGAAGTCCAAAGATCTCATTGAGCGAAGAACTTCTATGCACCCCAAGTACTAGAAGACAAAAGAAGAATTCATATTTAATTTCAGGTGCTTTCATGAATGAATGATTGAATCATCATTTGATTATCATATGGGAAGTGTAATAACTGCACATGTCCAATTAATGTGAGGCTATTCCTCTCATGGGTAGAGGTAGGATATATACTTATTGTTCATGCATTAAATGGGAAACATGAAATTTTGGTGAATGTCATACAGCTCATTTATTATTTTATTTCAAACCTTATAAAGTGAAAAATATGCATTGAACCACCATAAATGCCATATACCACAAATAACACACCATATAACACAGGTTACAGAATAACATACAACAAAACAATATCTAAGTGTTATTCATGCTTGTAATACACTTGTCTTTATCATCATATTATGAAACACTGCTTGCAAGATATTTTATGAATAAAGATTAAGCATTTAGAGATGTACCACCTGTATTGGCTGATACAGCAACGATAGATGGTAAAAATTGAACCGATATATTGGTATCGGCCAATTCTCCTTATCGATACATCACTATAAACAACAATAATGCCCACACTTCAGCATTTGCAGCTCTAAATATCTATATACTAAACACAGGCTCTTGTTGAATAACATTTAATGAATAATACTATTAAAATTAGATAATGGTTGATTTTAATCAGGACATAGTAATGAACTAAGGTAGGGTGATACTAAGTGAGGTACATAGGATGGTATAAGTATAGTGACTTTAGAAATTAGTGATAATTTGCTTTTGCTGAGACTCACCTGTCAGTGCTGTATGATCCAATTAATGAAATTGTATTCCTATCCTATCCAGTAAAATCACCACCCACATAGTAACCCACATCTGACTAATGACGGATCATTTTGTCCTGAGAAAATAAAACATATTTCTCTCGTCACAAATAAACAAACAAAAAAATTATAATGTTGAGCCTTAACAAAACGTACCCAAATATTAACTAAGCAGACCTTTATGGCATAGAAGATGATTCACTTCAATTAACTTACTTGTAAAATGCTTTATAGAACGCAATTAACCATTTCATTAATTCAGATACTATAGGCATACTCACATTAACCCTTCAAATTTGGAGCTCAACTTATTAATAAATTACACTGAATTTTGAGGGCTATACATTGTTGCTGTTTTTGATTTATCGTCCTAAGAAACAACTGTGATGTTATTATAAATACTAACATCATATGTCAATTATCCTTGACATGATTTACAAGATCCAGGCTGGAATTCATGTCCTACTACGTAACTGCTACTTTCTGACTTAAACTGATGCATTAAAAACTTCAGGAAAGTAAAGAATCAAAATCAGGGCTTGAATAGTGTAGCTTCATAGATCCAATTCACATTAAGCAAATTGATCATTTGTGCTACACAAATTATTATGAGAATTTATATGTAAAGTTCTATTAATGCTTATTCTATTAGTGTTGATATGATAATATTGAAGAGGTAATGATGATTGGATGTTTTAGTTTTGATATTATGTAACTAAACATATTTTATGAAAGCTGGAAAAGTATACTAGTTCTGAGATAAAGAAAATACTCTACCATATGCTGTCTGACCGTCAGGTTGAGCCCTTAACCTTTACTAACATTAATACTACTAATTTTTATTTAGAAAATATTTTACTTGTGACATTTGAATTTTAATTAAGGTTTATAATGTATTTGAGGTAAAATACGTCTCAACAAAATTATTTAATTTCTTTAAAACACATTGAAATAATAATACATTTTATTATACAGCTTTTACAAGATCTCATCCTCCTGAATAAAGTTAAAAATAAAGATATGGTTTTACGAATATTATTATATTGCATTTAATAAATTTGAAATATACTAAATAGGTCAACACCAATCCCACATTGTCAAATGTGTTTGTGTGTGCATAAATCATGTATATATTACATTTTGGGGACTAGAACTTTGGACAAACTAATAATTTTTCGGTCCTCACATGGGGAAACTAAATTCTATAAAAAAATCTGCAAGCAAAAAACTAAAAATGCCAAAAGTCTTGTACTTTGTTTGGTTATGTATGGTTTACCTTAGGGCCAGGTAGGGATTAAGGTTGTAATTGTTGGGATTACGGTACTTCCTTTAGGAATGAATGGATGGTCCCCACAAAGATATAAATTCAAGCATGTTTGTGTGTATGTATGTGTATGCGAACAGATATATACAAACTGTGACTAGGCACATCAGTCAAACTACCCATTAACAACTGTTGAATGCTATCAGTATATTATATAGATATACACACACATACACACGCACGCACACACATATTTTTATATATATATATATATATATATATATATATATATATATATATATANATACACACACACATATATACATACATACATACACACACACACACACATACAAGTGTGTCTATAATAAACTGAAAAGGGATTTCAATAAAGCTTTCACAAACCTTCACGTTTATTCATCTAATGTGATTATGAAATTAAGGAGTGCTGTCTAGTGCTGCATGACAGATATGGACAGACATTTTTATTTATTGCAATTATATTAAACAATTATATTAACTAGTAAACAGGTTCACAAACTTACTAAAGTAACATTAATGTTTATATGAACTTTTGTAGTACTTGTGTATGTTTAACAAAAGTGCAAAAATTTCTGTGTGATTTTAGAACATTTATAATTACATATTTTATGAAGACATTAAGTCATTATGAACATAAGAATGATTTTGAAACATAAATGATTATTAGGATGCAATTAATATGAAATATTAGAAAATTAGACACTTGTGATGTCATTTGTCAAACTACAAGTTTAGGTTTACATGTTTGACATGAAATATTATGTGTACAAAAGGTCCAACATGGGTTACCATGCAGCATGTCATCTACTGAGTAAGATCCTATTACAATTAATAATACTAATTGTTAATTCTTATTAAAGATGAGCCATTAACTGTTTTGTACAATCTAATAATTTTAGGCAATACAAACAGTTCTCTTTTTGTATCAGGTCATGTGTTTTTACTGACAGAAATTATGTTATCAAGCATTTCAGTGTATGTTGCATAAACACTGTAAAAGATTTCAAAGGACAATTTTCCGTCATTTACAAAAGGTCAGTTTCAATACAGAAACACTCATAAAACAACAATAAAATACACAAGTCTATGTAAATTACAAAACAAACAATATTTTTTAGTGTAAAGAACAGAAACTAAGTAGCATGCTAAAAATGTCATTGAAGTTCTCAAAGCTAACGTTAGATATGAGTATATCAACTTCCTCTGCCATAAGAATAGCCTAATTTTCATAAAATGTGTCACTTGCCATCACTGCCTTCTTATCCAAGAAGTGCATATAGTGTATACAGTGAATGACTAATTAAAAAAGCCACAAGCAGAATTTCTATTTGAAATAAATACATGTCTACTTAGGAAGCTGGAACAGAGCTTGCACCAAAATATCCAGTTTCAATGTAACGTTTGATCATACTGCACACATACTGCTGTGCCTGGCTGTTAATATTGTGCGATTTGCTGGATTATGTAGACAGGGCTTCTGTACCATCCATCTTTCATGTATATATAAAAAATACATAACACATGTATGCTGATAATCATTGAATATATTTTCAAGGTAGGCCACGGTTCAAATTTAAGATATGTATTTCAGATTGCTGAAATTTCATCATGTCACAAAAAATTAACAACCTTATCAAATTTTATGAGAAATATTTCACTACAGAGTCAAGGATATATATGAATAGTATTCCATAATGCCAGAGAGTCAGCATATATATATAAAACGTAAATTGTTTAGTTGCTGAAAATTACATGCATGTATCATGAGTTTCTTGTGGTACAACTATACTGTATATATATTCATATTTTACGCAACTGTGATATTGCTTTGCATATATGGTATACATGAATAATGGCAAAATACATAGGCACTTGCTTATAGGTCTCACCAGAGCGTGAAGATGGAGAGAAGCATTATACTGTCTTATATGAGCACTCTGAAGCAGAGAAGCCATTAGCTTAAAAAAATCCACTCTATACCTTTTATATTTTTATAGCACAGGCAATCAAACATACTGCATGCAAATATATCAAAACCAGAGAAAGGTATTTATCAAAAGAAAAGACAGACAAAATATAAAAATACAAATACATTAAAAATTAACATGCAAGCTTTTGCTTTACATTCTAGATTTTTCTAATTTTGAACTAATGTCCTTCTTTGTTGTATGATTTGCCAGGCTGCAGCCTTGTCTTTCTTTAACAACCGCAATATCCCTTTATGTCTTCTCAAACATAAGAGCATAATAATGCAGCTGTATTTTTATCACACCACACTCATTGAGGGAAAAGACAGAATGGGGAGAAAAGGGAGCCAAAGACCAACCTTTACAATGTACGTCACACCGGGTCCAGAGATCTTGTCGGCGGAGTGAAGCCATCCTCTGGAGGGTTTATTTACCACGCTGCTGGGATTCCAGCTCTCTCCCCCCAGGTGCGTCTCTTCCAGCCTGCCCTTCTTCCCAGTGCTCATGCCAACCGAGTCCTGTTGCACGCACAGAGGACCGGTGGCAGAGTGGCAAAGGGTGTCGCTGGGAGCTGCTGTGGCACTCGTGGAGCTAGCAAAGCCCGAGCCGCTGCCCCCTTGTAGCTTGGACACGGCCAGGTCTTTGACGGCTGAGGGCAGGCTCTTAATGCCTATCAGGCTGCCGGTGTTGGTAAATTTTAGGTTGGAAACCTTATTGATGAGGGTGCAGAGGGTGGTGCCGCCATCCTCGGGTTCCGCGTGGAGCGCGTCGGCTGGCGAGGGGCAAGGGGGCTCGGCCGAAGGTGTAGGACTTGCCGAAACCTTGGGGTTCATGGAGAGGTTGTGAAGAAGATCATCGACAGATGTCACAGACTCATTCTTGAAGCGGTTGTATTTGGTACGGTGAAGCATGCCCTTCTATCTGCCTGCCTACAAACGAACTGGCAGATGTGATGCCAAGCTAATTATCCCCTCCTTTAGCATAGCAAATGCCTTGTAGCAAAAACAAGCAATCCAGTGTGATATTTCTGTTGCAGTAATGGTTGTTGTACTTGTTGTTATGGTAAGCCACAGCTGCAATCCAGGTTAAGAGAGAGGAATCAGACAATCCATGAAAAAGCACATACATCTAAGAATAAAAAAGTACCAGGATAATCTCTTCCACTAGTGATGTCCAGAGAGCAGGCGACGGTAGATGGCTGAGATCCCGAACGCTCTTACAGTTGCCTATCCTTTCGCAGCAAAAGCATGACTCACAGATCTGAGAAGACCCTTCCCAACAAAAGGCTGACTGAACACAGCAAATCACTTCCTGTAGCAAAAAAAGAAAAAAAATCCTCCCACTTACAGCACACTAGAACCAATCAATTCTCAAATATCCCAGACTGATATTTCCTCTCTACTAGAGGAATGCTTTTCTTTCTTATTCCATCAAAAGAAAATAGACAAACCAAATCAGACTCAAATTGTCATTAATATGAAATCATTCTGCATGTTTTCTTTCACGTTTCTGTTTTTCTGCTTACTGATAAATTCCCCTCTGCTGTAACATGTAGGTACAGCTTACATTAATTTCTTTTACAAAATTTAATTATGCATAACAATCAAGAATTGAGGAGGTTACTACTAAAATATATTTTAAAAATTTAAAATTTTATTTTACTTGAACTAGATTAATGGCTAACTAGGCTAACAGAAAAATATATAATATGCCAAGCATATCAGAAAAATATAAATATACATCTCTTGGTGCGGGTAATAATCAAGTACATAGTTCAGAGCTTTCAGGTTAACGCTTTCTCTGACCCCATCTAAGTAAAACAGAAGCACTGAACTAAAATCACATAAATTAGCAACAGAAACAATATTAATCACATTTACTGTAAATTCAGCAGTGACGAGTCAATATCAGCTGATAATAGATAAAGGAAATATATTCATATACATAATTCCAACAAAGACATTACGTCAATTGTCCTTATGGTAGCAGATCTAGAAAATCCTCATTGAAAAGGCTATACGTTTTACAGTATTGTAACCAGTCTCAAATCACTGTCTTTAGACAAAAAAAAGAATAGCAAAACAGCATAATCCTCCCTTAAATTTTACAGCTCTCAATTTGTTATCATTCTGCAGCAAAAAGAATACAAATTTGCTCTAACCTTTCTGATGCAGATGTATTCTTTAAATATTGCCAACCTAATTTATATTCTGTCTGGAAATACGGTACTGAATACACAATTAAAAATATCTAACAAAATATACACAGAAAAAAATGAGTGCTACCACGAGCTTATAATAAATGTACATTATCAGAAAACATACAAATACCTAAAACAGTCTATATAAAGAGCAAAGCCATTCATAAAACATGTCCAGGCGACTGTGTATCGGATGATTGACACTCATTCATAAGCCTTCTCTCATCCTGTTACAGATTTCGCACTGCAGTCCCTCTCAATATCTTGTTAAAAACTGCCTTCCTGTCTGGCAAATACAGGAGGAAAAAAAACACGCTTGTTCTTTCCTTGAATATGAAAGCAAACACAAACCGATGTATGAAAGCTCCCTGCTCAGGTCAAGCTGGTGGAAAAAGGAAGAAAAGATGATAAAAAAGACAAATCAAATGATATTTTTGTTTTATGTGAATGAAATTGCAGGCTTGCATACCAATGTTTCTGTGAATGAAGCGAGGCCTCTCTGCCTCTGCAAGGCAATCCTTTGGGATCGAATGGTCGTATCCAATAAGAAAAGAGCTGGATGAGTCATTCAGGGAAGGTTAGAATAGTGGAAGATTCCATTCCTTTTGCAGGTGCCATTTTTTTTTTTAACACAATGCTTTCAAATATATTTCAGCACTCAGCTAACTATACATTTAACATGTATTCTCTTTTTATTTAATATAAATTAATTTTAAAAATACTTTGTTGTTTTGATTAATTTTAACATATTTTTATTTCTCCCTCCTCTCATTCACTTTAAATGCAGGTCATAGGAACATACAGCCTTTTTTCTTCATGAATGTACTGTCTGTCAGTAATCTGAGATAAATTATCTTAATTGTCTATACCATTAAGGATGTGCATTTCTGTTTTTTTTCTACATGTAAAGATATATATTGCATAACTACATATTTTCACCCATGGAAAATAGGGTATACCACAAAAATGTAATCTGGACATATTTCTATACTTTCTACAGTTATTTTCTCCAGAAAAATGCCATGTTTTATTTCATATGTATAAAATTTAGATTAAATTTAATTTAGATTTTTTTTTTTTATTAAAAGAAGGTTTGTTTAGACACACACACAGGTTTGTAATTATATCTTTGTGGGGACTCTCCATTTATTTCTATGGCGAAAACTCTAATCCCAACATGACGACTTTAACCCCTATCCAGCCCTAAATTTAACCATAAGTAACCAAACAAAATACAAGACTTGTGCCATTTTTAGTTTTTTGATTGCATTCACAGATATTTGGGGGACCTGAAATTTTTTTCCCACAGCATCAAAATAACAGGCTTTGGTCTCCACAATGTAATATAAACATAATCCACACACACACACAGCCATATAGCTTTTATAATGTAACAAACTGTGGCACAAACATGTTTCAGCTTAATAATGATTTTTTTTTATTACCCATGAATCTATAGGCTTCATTCCTATTCAGGCAGGTCAATATCTTATAACTATTTATTGACATAATACTATTAATTTCCATTTTACAATTGGAAAAAACATCATTTGCATTACTCATATAAATATAATGCTGTAAAAATACACACATAAAGCTAAAAATGCTGCACCATTATTAATAAACCGCTACAGATATGTAAAAATATGTATCGTGATAATATCTTTGTTCAAAATACTAGCTTTATAGAGGAGGAAATTCCTAAGATAGTGTTATATATAAGGAGGTATCCCATGCAGCATTCAAACCATTTTGAAAATTTTTGTTTCGTCCAAATCCAAAATCATTTTCTAAATAAACCCTAAATAAATAACTAAATAAATGTGTTTTTAAGTATATTTACTGATTGGGGTAGAGTTGCACAGGTCTATAATGTAACTACAGAATCAACACTATCATAAAATTGACATTATTGTTTGTGCCAGTATGGCTGGCAGGATCATCCATCCATCCATCCATCTCTCAAATGATTATCAATTACAAGGTCATGGGGAGACAATTATCAATTACAAAGTCATGAAGCCTATCTCAGGCCAAGGGGATTATTATGGCATGGAAAGTACAGACTGGTTATATCCCACAAAACAACATGTTCAAGCAAGCAGTGATCAAGAGTAAAGTTTACACCTCCCTTGGACACCAAAACCTCATTCTTCTTATGACTTTAGGGCTAAGGCAAACAGTCAGCCACCCTTACGAGGTGTAAAACAGTACAGTGTACGTTATAACAAATGAGTGAAAATTCGACCACAACCTCAGACTAAAGAAGGCATTCTGCTTTTAACGCATCAACAGCACCACTGCTGTCAGTCTCACTGATGTTTCTCAGACAGCAACCTCCTAAGGATGGCATGAAAAGTAACTGCTTTCCATTATTTAATAGCACAATTCTGCAATGACAAATGTTATTTATGTTCCACAGCAGGTGGTGCAACGCACCTGCCACGAAGTTAGAGGGAAAGTGTTGACTGGTGCTTCATCAAGGTTATTTAAGCCAGGATATTGATACCTTCAGATAATGTATGAATACAGCTAGAGTTTGCACAAATATATAATAAAACTACAGAATCAACACAATAACATAGATGCTATTGTTTAGCCATTATATGTGTTGATTCACTACCAGAAATTAGTTTACAAATTGCAGGCTACTTCGCTATACTAGCTGAATCAATATAGAAGCAAAGTGTTTTGCATTTGACAGCAAAGCAAAATTCAATTCAGGGACCACAAAATCAAGAGATATTACTCAGAAAATATGCCGTTTATCACACCATGATTAGTCCTTCTATGTAGTCGAAGATGCTGGCTTAGAGTGATAACAGAACTGTAAGTAATAATACTTGAAATATGTAACTGAATGCAAATACAGGATTTTGAGTTTATTTGTATTCCAAGTGTTGTTAGTTGCCACTATAAAAACACAACAGCAACACCATGGCAGGTTTTTTCCATTAATTTAAGTAACATAGTTATTTGATATATGTAACTGAAATAGGTAACAACGCAGTTAATGTTATAAATATATAAGATATTTGGAGTGATAAAATATAGTACTCCAATTGACTATCAGTATTGGTCAGAAATTTCCTTATCAGTGTATCACTACTAATATAGGTAATATTTTAGCAATAGAACAGAAAATGGACTAATAAAAACAGGCACACACACAAATGCTTTTTAGTCTGAAGTGAAAAAAGACAGCATTTTTGTTTAAAAAAGCACTACAAAGCCCAGAGAGTTCATCTACATAATCGTGACTAGTATCTGTCAAACTCTCTCCAGTGATAGCTAATTAAGGCAGCGGGAAGTGCTGAAGACTGGGTGTAGTGTAAGTAGGTGTGGGGAGCATTTCTTTCAGCCAATCACTGAACAAAGACGACAATTCCTGCAATCTTGCTCGCTCACTACAACGTGACTTGCACCATAATAGATACTTTCAGCATCCATTGACAGGGAAAAGGAGAGGTTCAGGCTAGGGCTGGTAAGTATTAACGGAGTTACTAAAAACAAGCCTTGACCAAAAAACAATGAGTAATTATTGAATTTTCCAGTAGCGACATTGTAAATATCACACTGCCAATGTCCATAAATGTGAGCAGTATGCATATATGGCACAATAAATAATGTGTCATTTTTTGGGTATTTGGAGCACATACTTTTTATCTTTTGGTTAAATGATTCCCAAATGGGACATTAGCAGGGCCTAGTATAGCAAATGTCATTATATTTAATATCTATCCACTATACATAATTTTTACAATTTAAATACTTAGAAGGAGCAAAAATAGTAAAATACAGTGAAGAAAATCATTGCTGTGTACAGGATGCAATGATTAATATGTTTATATCTTAATATTACATCTGTTACTTGTAAAATTGTATATATACACATTAATAGCTATATATACACATATTAATGCACACCCGCGCACGTGCACACACACACAGGCATAGAAACGCCATGCAAAAAAAAAAAAAAAAAACGACAAGGACAGGCATATTGCTCAGTACCAGGTCCAGCAAAGCAACGGTAGCTGAATGGTCTGTATCAGGTGTTTATAAAGCCGCCTGTGTAGAGGCCATGACCACATTAAACCTTCAGTCATAACTCATTTATATTCTCAATACAGCTGTATGGTAAGACTGTATTCTACAGTTATACAGGCCTCTCAAGATCATTTATGGTAATTTAAACTCAGGTTTTGTTTTTAGATAATGCTCCATTGCTATCAGATTATCATTAAAGGTTGTGCCAGTAACCATGGGAATCAGTGCTCACTGTCACTGAAAAAAACTTATCAGCGCTCAAAATATTCTATTTCTGGTCCATTGTGTCTGGAATTTTGTTGAAATTGTGCAATTCATGTAGCAAGTACCTCACAGAATAGCTACAATGCATTGTGAAAAGTATATGTGAAAAGCAGATATAGATATGGCATGATGATAGACATACATGCTAGATGTCCACTAACAGTAATGAGTACACACCTATTTAAATTGCTTCACTTTTAAAGGTGAATAGATGGCAATGAATTATCAAAATATATATCACATATATGACAATGAAACTGATTAGTGAAAGAAAAATATTGATTTTAAATTAGCTGTGGTGCAAGAGCTTTATAATTTACTATTGAATTTTCTCACTTCCAAATAACCATTATAGCCATATAGACAGTACAAATAAATATGAATTTGTAATAGACAGCAGGGTAAATTGTGTACAATTTAAAATTGTTTACCAAATAAATTTAGCTATGTATTATAATCCTGAAAATACTGTGCAGCCAACATTGATCTACTCATGGATGGTTTGTGTTTTAACTGCAATTGGTAGCTTTGCCAACAACAAGCCAGTATGGAAATAATAATAAATCTAATAAAATATTATATGTTTCATTGACACTTATCCTTTTAAGGAATCTCAGGAAAACGATTTAATGTTTCAATTCAAAAAGTAGTAAATCTCTAATGACTGGACATAGAAATGAGATAAATCAGGGCAGGAAGATCATTCCCTAAAGGCACCTTTATGGTTACCATAGTTTCAAACACAGCATAGCAACAAGAATGGGGTGAGGGGGCCGGCTTAAGAGATTGACAGTCTAAACCAGGCAAATATCTTTCATGGTTGAAAGACACACTGGAAGCATCCAGATGTAACATGTCATGTCTAGGTATGTGCTTTTACCTGATTTATCTATGTAATGCATAGGGAAACTACCATTCGGTAATGACCTAATAGGCTACAGCTGACAGATGTTTTAGTGTCATGCAAAACCTTAAGGAACCTATGAACATTGACTATTAAAGTGTATTGCAAAATCCTTCATTTATCTGCATTCCTATTTGAATTTTTGTGATCACTGTAGCCTTGCTTCAAAAAAAAAAATCTATTTTAAAAATCACAATACTGCTTCTTTCATAAAACAAATCACACTCTTGGTAATTTCATAAAACATAACCCCTATAATCCCTCCTGCCCATACAATGCATATGAATATCATGTGTAGAAATAGAAAACTCATTTTGATGTAAATTATAACACAAGAAAAGTTTAGGAAATCAATCAGTTCTTAATGCAAATGTACTTCACATCTTAGTATATATTAGTTCTCAGCTATTAGAGTAATTTGTCTATTTTCAAATATAAGGCATTATGTTCTCATTGTCATCTGTTACAAAATGCTTCACTAATAATGGACTGAAATGGAATAATGGAATGAAAATATTTGGTTGTTCGATATATGAAACCGTAATAAAACATTATTGCTATTTGGCAAAAATGCTATTTTCAAATCACTTCTGAAATGTTCAATTTAAAACAAAAAATAAAGTAAATGATTTACTTATCAGTGGATAAATGGGTTAACGTTTACACATTTTACACACACACACTATATGTTCATTTTATTTTATTTGTGGGGAAAAATATAAAAAATATAAATTGAGTATTATTCTTCAGATTAAATTAGTTCATAATTTAACAATCAACTTTGTCTCTACAATACACTGAAAAGCATGGCAATTATTTAAACTTTCACAAAGGTTTCGAGAAATGTAT